TAAAATTATAAACGAGAAGAATCGATCCAGAAATATTGCATTTCCATATCGAATAATTTCGCAACGTCACTATTTAGTACTTGTCATAACGTTGCAACACTGAAATTGTCAAATCTGGAATCGAATTAAAATTCCGAGTATAGTTTCGACACCTGGAACACCAGAAGCATTACAAGTGCGTTACTGGCTTTTGGGGATTAGGAATTTGAGGGTTATTTGGATTCAGGGGTTGAAGAGATTGTGGAGCGGGGGGGGGGGGTAATCGGCCTCCGGTAATCTAACTCACGCGATGAAACATAACGCAAGCGTTGTTTCACGTCGGTTATTCCGTGAGGCCGTGGTATCACTCCGGTCGAGCCGGCCCATTCGTGCCGAAGCATGACTCTCCCACATAAAACCATAAACAGCGATGGGAAAGAGAAGTGCGAGAAAGAAATATAACTATGACACTTACCTTGGAACAAAATAACAGTACCCTCTTTTATAATCTTTTTAACCAACTCAGGCTCGAAGCTGATTAGTTGGTTGTATCTTAAATCTAACAACTTCAAGTGTTTCGCCGCTATTATATTTGGGGTAGGCAGGGATTGCAGTGAATTGTTGTACAAGTGTAATTCTGTTATGTTCTCTGGTAATGTGAACTTTATTTCCGCTGTAAAAAATAAGAAAAACAATTGAATAATATTACGGTTTTAAAACTGCGAAAGAATTAGTAAGCAATGCTTTTTCTATATTTGATGGTCGGATGTTTGACCACTATCTCGCCTGGTGGTGCGCGATGATGCAGTCTACGATGGAGCACGTCGTCCCATAAGCAACCTATTCACTCGGGCCTTGAAGACACCCAGGTTATACCCTTCAGGAAACACAGACTCTGGCAATGAATTCCACTCTTTAGCAGTACGCACAAGGAAGCTTGCACGCACACCTACCATGAATCGGTGACGCTTCACCGATTGTCTTGTGGTACGATGATGGAAAGGATTAGGGGGAACTAATTTGTGCAATCCCCTATACTGTACTGAATCAATTTTAGTTTACATACCTATATCAAATAAGTTCATCACAATAAAAAATGTCGTTTAATACGGTTTTTAATTAGGTAGGTAAGTAAAGGTAAGGAAATATTTTTCTGTGGAAATGTAAAGAATAGAGCGATATTATAGGTCCGTTGGTAACTTTAAGTCTATGAGCATTTTATTTTTGTTCTCTTTCTCGCTCTCTGTGTAGTGTTTAGTTCATTAATGGACCGTGGGGAGGGTAGATGCGGCGGCAAATGTATCTTAGCTGACCTTTAATACGTATTTATCTAAAAATCGCGAGTTACTCATATGAATCCATCAAACATCTAGCACGGCTTGAAACTAGTCGAGTTCCTCGTCAAATAATTACATGAGTAAGTCGAAAAACATAATAACTATTTTTACTGTGTAATAACACAAATATTGTCAAAATAAAAACAAATTAATCAGTTGATACTCACAAGTCCTAGAAACTAAATCCTTGATGTTATTGTGTGATAGATCTAGTATTTGTAGCGATGTTAGGTTTCCTAGGACATCTGAAAACAAACAGATATATTAAAATTAGTGTTTTTTATGGCATAAGCCGGTAAACGAGCAGACGGATCACCTGATGGTAAGCAATCGGCGCCGCCCATGGACATCTGGCACAGAATTAAAATAACTATGTATATAATAAGTGTGGGAGAGTCTTGCTTCGGTAGAAATGGGCCGGCTCGACCGGAGTGATACCACGGCATTACAAAAGATCGACGTGAAGCAACGCTTGCGTTGTGTTTCGTCGTGTGAGTGAGGTTACCGGAGGCCCAATTACCCTCCCCTTCCCCAATTTCCCCAATTCCTGAATCCCTAACGATCCTCGAACTCCTAATCCCCAAAAAGCCGGTGACGCACTTGTAACGCCTCTGGTGTTCCAGGTGTCCATGCCGATTGCTTGCGCCGCCGATTGCTTACCATCAGGTGATCCGTCTGATCGTTTACCACCTTATGGCATAAAAGAAAATAGTGTACGTAAACCGTACAAATACTATAAACTTATTATTCCTTTTATTTATTTTCATACTTGATTTATATATTTTTAAATATTTCATTATATGTATAAAAAAAAACATTTAAAAATATAAAAAGCAGTAGCCCACCAGTAATGGGAGAAATCCAAGCTACCGGTGGTCAGGGCTCCAGAGAAAGGAATTTCCGGACAATACGCGCCGTGTCCAGAAGTACTTTTGCATCAGGCCCTTGACCCAACCATCTAACGCTAGCCTACTCAGATGTTGGTCGAGGCTTTTAGCAATGAGGCCATTGGCAGATACGACTATCGGCACAATGACTGCTGAATCCACATCCCACATGTCGACAATCTCATGAGCTAAATCAAGATATTTACTTGCTTTATCTTTT